ATAGTTGTTATAAAAATTTAAAAGAACATTCATTTAATTGTTCAATAACTGCTTTCATATTAAAAAATAATAAAATAATATTTATCTAATACCTGTAAATATATTTTTTGCAGAATTTTTGATTCTAATTTCAATTCGTAAGAGTTGTCACAAATATGGTGAGGATAGAGAATTGTGTTTTTAACACTATTCAATATCCCAAGGATCACACAACTCTCTGCCCATGCACGTTCTGTCCCCATTGACTTGTTAATATCTTTAAAAATTATATTTCATATGATTGTGCAATAAAAATATTGATGTAGGTCGTAATTTACCATGGATTAAAACAGTGTTTATAAGCAGCATGTGTTTTATGAAAACCATAGGTTTTCTGCTGGAAAGACTTAATGATTCTATACAAGTAACACTAGATCTTCGTATGATAGAAGAATCTGTAACAAGATTGTTAACAAATGCTTCTAACAACATCTGTAAAACATTGTGATTAATTAGTATAAATAACTAATGGTTAGTTAACTAAATGGTTTTTAAGACGAATACAAAACATTTGATATTACTTATTTTCAAAACTCACTTTTATATTGCTATCAGACATAATATGTCCTAAGCTTTGCATAATTTTTGGAAAAGTTTGGGCCAAGATTTCAGCCACAGGATCTTCTGTTCTCATAGCAATTTTTTTTATGCATGGTATTAAGAACAAAACAAATTTTTTACGACTAGCTGGGCTGAAATAAATTTAATGATTATTTTATTTATAGAATCACAAGTACAACAAAAATTACAAACTAAACACTAGTTTTTGTATTATATCATTTAAAGGTTAAAAAAACTACCTGATTAAATGACATATATTTCCAAATCTGGACAAAGCAGCTCTTAATCGACGAACAGTATCATTTTTCTTTACTTCTTTTAATAATTCAACAAATATTTCAACTTTTCGATAATCAATCATGCACTAAAATGATGTAGATCATGAATTATAATACATATATAAACTAGAATATAATATTGTTAAAATGGTATACATACACGAACAACTTTGTTCAGATTTTCCTCAGCTACCATTCTTATATTAGCTTCAGAATGATCACACATTTTAAACAAACTATCCATTGACTTATGTAAAAGATCAGGGAATGATGAAAAATTCATAACAATTGGTGCACAAATTAAATCGGCAGTAACTCGACAATATTTTTCTTTTTCTCCAGACCTTCAAAATTAAATTATTTATATTTTCACAATCCCATAAATTCTACATTTGATACTTACCGTCCAATTAAGTCATTTGACTTGAGGCCGTCTAGAGCCTTTGCAAGTTTATCAATGATCGACATCGCTACAAAGGTAAAAACGACTGTTCACCAAAGAAATTATTTGTCAATAACAAAGTTTTTTCGATAAGTTAGTCATTTTCTAACCAAGACACTTAAAATGTATAAGAACATATGAATTTTGAATTTATGCAATCATTTTAAAGGCAACAAGATTTTTGTGTCAAAAAATTCATTCAATTTGATTCAATTTTTATGAACAAACTATTCGGTAGGTATATTTTATGTGCTGACAATGACAATAAGCTAATTTTTATTTTAATAATAAATTCAAACGTGAACATTGATAAGAACTCTATTGATATAATGATAGCAGTTAAATGATAACAAAAAAATAATTTATAATATATATTTAAAGTATTAATCAATAATATATTGCCATTATTTTATGGGCTACTAAATATTATAGTATTATTTAAATTATTATAAATTGGTAATATTCTGTTTTTAGCATGAGATGGTCTCGGGTCTAAATAATTTTCAAATTTTTGTGGTTTTGACAAATTTTATTAAAATTTGAACTACAAATGCTTAAAAAAAAATTATTCCTATGAATCTAATATATTTTTTAATTATGGTAATTATTATGAAGAACCTTATAGATATTAGATTTTCAAGCTTTTTTACCAAGTGAGACATGTTTCATCTTTAAAACAATTGAAAACATTTTTTTCTTATTTCTTTTGCCTTTAAATAAGCAGTGGCGCAACTAGGGCGGTGCAAAAAGGTTAGGACCCCCAAGTTAAAATTTAGCACTCCTTGTTTTTAATATCTAACTTTCATTATTTTATTGAAATATCATTAATTGTATGTTTTTAAATTATCGAACATTTCCTAAAAAAATGTATAGTTATTTGGTCTAACGCTTATTTATACTATGTATAATCAATGGACCTTGGAAAAGATATGTAAAAAAGAAACCGGACGAAAGATGAACAAATCTGGGAGGCCAATGTGCATGAAGTTGGCCCCAACACCATGACCAATGTTTTTGAAAGTTTTATTATCATTTTGCAAATAATATTCAAATAAATTCCCCACACGGTATAAAAAAATAAGACGGGGGGGGGGGACAACTTCACTCAGCCCCCCAATATGTAGCTAGCGGCTTCAAGATACTACCAATAATTTGCAAATAATTTGCAAATTGGTTTTCAAAATTTGCAAATAAATTACCCACACGGTATGAAAAATATAAGATGGGGGGGGGCAACTTCACGCTACACCCCCTTTTGAGCTACGAATTGAAATATGCTGCTAACATTTTGCAATTAGCCGCTAACTTATTTATAATTTCGAGTCCAAAATCATACCAATCATTGGTGTTTAAACGTAAGTATAGTTTAAAGTATAATTTAAAATTATATTATGTAATACACAATTGAAATATACTACTTACAGAAGTATTTTACATAATATTTTGGGCTACTATTTAATATCGTGGTTCATGGTTCTCCTCATTTATTATAAAACGTCAGGTCGATACATCAAAAACATTTTTCGCCACCAGACTGCTGTTTCAATTCTTTGCGGACTTTTTCTCATTTTGGGGCCGGATCCTGGAGTCATGTCACTATAATAGAATTATTGGTAAAAGGAAAATTGAAAAAAATAAAATTGATTTAATTAATTATTGATTCTTATTACTTTTATTTATCTTGTAACAAGCGCTTAATATAAATTAAAATAATAAAATATAACCTTTTTGTCTTTTTGTTTAGTAAAAAAAAAAAGACATATCTTATTAATATAATTGACTTTTGTACCATTGTACAGGTCTTTTTTTTTACTCTTTCACATATAAAATTACACGTGGTTTTATTTTTGTTGAACTAGGCCACTAGGGGTACTTTTTAATTTTTTTTGCCAAATCTTTGTGCATACTTCCTATCTATTTACACGTTGTACATACGCTATATAATGATCATGTCCATAAACAACTGCTCCGTATAATATATATTTAAAAATTATTTAAAACAATTAATTAAATAATATATTATTTTCAAATAATTATATACAACACCTGTTATTGTCAATTGTCAGACTAAACTGCAAGTCAGCCAATGAGTACTCTTGATATTCAGTCATTTAATCTGTTTCAATAAATAAATGATTTGCTAGGACTCTCATTACATTTAAAAATCCCAAACAGTATAGTTCTGTGAATTTAGTATTTTTACTTCACTGTATTCTTTCAAGCACGTTTTAAGCCATTTGTTTCAAGCAGTGAATACTTCATTAAACATTGTTTAACCGATGAAATCCGTAGGATCTGGCCATTATTATTTTTGCATATAGTTAACAAAATAGATGTAAATATCATGCTATTGAATGCAAATACATAGCAATTTCAGTTGTTGTAAAAAACTAAAATATTTGTATTGCATGGGTATACTATGGATTATGCACAATAATATTATATTGTCCTGCATCAAATAAATAGTTCATTTATTTAACATATATTTATGTGTAACCATACAATTAAGATATGGGTATATGAATGTATTAGCAATATACAATTTAACGTTACTCATTCAATTTAGAGTGTATTAATTACGAAATACAATATTATATCATAACATTGAGCATTACTGGTTAGGTTAAAATATTATCTTTTATTTATTATGATGTATTTTTGAGTAAATGTATTTAAACCTAACCGCAGATTTGTGTTTAACTTGTTATGTGTATATTATAATGGACAGTTTACGTGAAAACAAATAGCAGTGTACATCATTGACATTTGTGTGATCTATTTAATAAATTACATTCATATGGTCGTCGATGAACTTTTCTGTAACTATATTACATTACATAGTTGCACAATTATTTATACTGCATGAAACCCAGAAAAATTATGGTGATTTAAAATGTATGATATCTTAGTTATTAATTAACAAGATTATGAAATTAAAATGTACCAATATGTTATTGGTGGCTTCAAACTTTTAACACAATATCACCATATCTATTATCACCGCATAATAGTTTTTCTAACTTTCAGTTTAATGCTGCCAGTGTTGTATTTTAAATTCTAAAAATTAAAGTTGGTACCTATTATAGCTTAAGAAATATTAAGTTATTTAACTTACCTATCTATCCGAGAAGGATATTTATTATTTATAGGTAGGTAGGTAATTAATATAAATTAACCAATTAGTTACAAATTCTAAATAGAATGTCTGAGTCAGTGATTCACAACATAATTTCTTAAAATTGTGATTTTAGCACTGTTTAGTGTATAGACTATCGAATGTGATTATCTGCTAATTCTACAGTTTGTGTAAACTCATTATTTGTGCTCTATATTGTGACTAGTGATCATAACTCGAAAAATTATCTAGGAATTTTAAACAGATAGTAACTAAATATGTTTTCTTATTATTAGATATAGTAGGTATTATTAAAATTTTTTATTTTTTACGCTGTTACATTTAATAGAAAAAAAATATAAAACATCGAAACGAATAATGTATAGGTAATTGTAAAAACATTTAACAGTATAATCTTATATGCAAGTACCGAGGTTAGGTACCTCTGGTACCTACATGAAAACGTGTAAAGGCTTAATTTTTAAAATTCCCTATGTATTTAATAATTAAAAAATAATGATTACAACACTATTAAAACAATATGGTGAAAAAGTCGCTACATATTATATGGATTTTAAAACATATTTTATCCAGAAAAATCTCCGCATTTAAAACATTTGCAGTCCGCTGGTTCTTTTAGTTTTACTTCCAACGTGGCCAGTTTATCACTTGTCAATCTTACGCCATCGGGATCGTAGCAATGTGTAAGAGCGATCACTCTCTCTCTCAAAAATGTTTCACGACAACAATAACATTCCTGAAATCACGATATAATATCATAAAGACAAAAAATAATAATTATAGATAATTAGATTTCAGTTATTTTGCTACACATTTGATTGGAATAATGTAGATATGTGTTTTCTATTGTGTTTCTAAACAAACAATAACTATTTATAGATTCCTGGTAAAATTGAAGGTATATATAACATACAACATTAGTATCAAATTAGAGAAGGTATATAACATTATAATCCCATTTTACGTTTGACTAAATCATGCAACTGAATCGCTGAATTCTGTGCTACAAAAGTTCGATCGTTCATATTTATTTTGATAATGATAATATTTTATGCATTAGGTATGACATTATTTATTTATTTATTATTAATACGGGGTGAGTCCAATCACATTGTATAGTATTCATAATAATTATGAGAAAAATTACAAAAATTACAAATATTGAGAAAAAAAGAACGAACAGACAATAATTCAATGCTATGTTCTAAGGAATAGTGGGTCCTCATTTGCCAATTTCATCATACAGACAATAGGACAATTTGTTAGATAGTGGCAGTGTCAAAAAAAAATTTGAAAAGAGAAAGAGTATCTGGAATAGAAACTTGGAACTCTGAAATTAAGTTTATATAGAAAGGCCCCAATCGACTTCGCCATTCTATAGTATGTATTGTATTATGTAATACAATTAGCGTACAATTATAATTATTTTATGAATAAACATTATAATTAATAAGAATTTAAAACATAGGAATATAGAATATATTTTATACATTTCGAGGTGCCTATCTAACTTTAAAAATGGGAAAAGTAGGTAACCGATCTGCTGTACCGTAGTTATTTACTGTTGGTGTCTGTTGTACTTCGTCATGGAGTAAGTTACATGTGATGTACCTATGAGTTAAATTTGAATTCAAATTTCAAACCATCGTTGCATAAGGAAAACGATTCTGGAAGATGACGGCCTGGCAGCTTTTTATTTTATATTGCTATTAGTGTTATGCCTATAGTAGGTGGGTTGAATTATTTTTTCCTAAAACATTGCATTTGAAAACGTCATTTTGTGTATGAACTATAATAATAAGTACAAGTTAAAAATTCCAAGTCCCCGTGAATAGCATTTTTTAATTATTAAAAATAACTATTTTCGTTCTTATTTGAACATCAAATTTCTACAGTAAAAAATTGTGCTGATAAATATTTTTTAGGTTTCTGTAGCAACTATGAAATACTTATGAGGAACCTTGTATTAAATTGTCAACCCTAAGGTATACAAATTTATCATTTCATAAATATTTAACTAAGTACAAAATTTTAACTTCTAATACTTTTAAAAAAAAATTGTGCCTATGTGTCATTAATATTTTGAAATAGATATATAATAACAACTTACTAGGAATATTATGTTAAATGTTTAACCTTTTTGATCTAGCTAAAAACTTTAAATCAACATTTTTTTGAATAAAAAAACCCGTTTTTCCTATTTTTTCCCACTTACAGTACTGAAATTTTTTTTCTTTTGACCCTCCCCCCCTCCTCCCCAAAAAAATAACCGACTAGATTCAATGTTCTACTAGAAACCACTTTCAAAGTTGAAAATCGAAACATTTTTACTGCTTCAAAAGATAATAAGACATCTCCAAAGATGACCAACACAAATCACATATTATGGTAAAACTAATACATTCATCGTTCCTCTCAAATCTTAAATTAAAATCATACAAATACTAAACATATATATTTTATTAAATTATCAAGTAATAATAACTTTTAAAAATCCACTAGGAGTAATGACACTAGGTTGTACTTGTGAATTGCACGCTCCTTCACACTTGTTCACTGCTATGTCACCATTGCATGTCCTCTGAAGCCGTCCAAGTTCGTCAAATTCCTCTAAACGTAATAAACAACAATCAAGTGTTTTTATACAATAATTGTTGCACATTATGTAGGATTTGTTTTGAATAAAACGTCAAAATGTACCTTTAATGATATGCAATTCAGAAGGCAAAGTCTCACATTCTTCTGGGTTATCTTCTGCAAGTACGTTATTATGTACGATAATAATCGCGACAGAGATGATAAACAATTGAGTCGTGTACATAATGGCTAATAAGTATTTAGTTAACAATTACAATTTGATAAAATATGATAAAATGTGTTGTGCACAGTATAAGTAAATAGGTACTTACACAATATAGCTGCCAATAAAGTTTATTGAAGTAATCCAGATCAGTGACTGATCAGTTAACAGGGACTGTTAACGTTCACGACAAAACTGTTTATGACTTCCAGAGTGCGTATATTAAAGCTTTCACTTTAAACAAACATAAGTGTTATTGGACTGAGAGGGTGGCTTAACTTATCCCTAGGGGGTCTTGTAATATACAATTTTTGTGATGTCGAAACAAAATATGCCACTAACAGATTTTATTTATAAAAATAAATATAGCTTACTGACGGAGTAAAAAAATATTGTTAATTATTCTTTGAATTATAAATAATAAATATTTTAAGAATAAAATAAATGAATATATCAATTATTAGTATTATAAATTATAATCATAAATATATAATGTAATAATTTGAATTAGCTAACCTCAATGAGCAAATTAAATTATGATTTATGATACAACATAAGGCATAATATAAACATTAGCCATTACCTATTCAATGTCGAGGTACACTTTATACCTACTATAAAGCTATGCGATGAGTTACCCATTTTTTTTTTATTTTAAGCTTATAAACACAACATAAAATAATGATCAACAAGGCTGTAGTGTGTGTGTGTGTGATTTATGTTGTGAAGGATGGGGAGTCTGGAGTCAACAAATTTTAGCTGTGAATATGGTTTATAGACTATTGTATTAAGGATAATTTTATAATTTTGGCAAAACAATAATAACGAGAATAAAGAGTTTTATTTATTATTTGAGAGTTGAATTATGTACATCTTACTTATTATACACAATTTTTGAGGAACATTTGTCATTACCTATTGTCAATGATAATAAATAAATAAAATAAAATTATATAGGTCCCTAATTATATAAAAAAAAATTGATTACTTCCTATAATAGGTAGGTACTAGGTAAGTAGGTACCTATCATATTTATATTCATATAATAAAAATCAATGACCATATACTTGTAGCGTGGATGGGAAATACATTTAAAGTGTTTACCTTATGTCTTTATGGGAATTAATAATAATAATCGAAAACCGATTCTATTATATTTCTATTTAAAATCGTGATTATTGGTTATGTCTTATGTTTTATTATTCGACACTTGTAACACCAATAGACAACATAGTTAGGTAACAAGACGTAACAGTACGAATATCACATAGATATATTAGTATATTACCTAAACGAAATACCAAAATTTCGAATATATTAAATTAAAAAATATTTTAGGAAGTATATTCATGATAAGTTATATGTTTGTTGGGGACCATTATTCTATAGATCCGGGCCTACTATTAGTACCTACATCCATTGATGGTTGTTTATGTGTTTATGTGTTATATGTATTACATTTGAAGTACAATCCAATCCCAACCAGAATCTAATAAAATTTCCATAAGTTAATGTTTTGATTTAATTTTAATATTAATTTGTACATCAATTTTCCTTGTAATTATTGTTTGTATACGTTTTTTATAATATCTGTACAGTTCTGAAAATAGTGCATATAGCTAATAGCTATATGATATAATAACTTTTATATCACAACCATTTTCCAAATACTTTACTCTTAGAAAAAATACATCTATAGTTTTTAATTTTCGTCTATATTTATTATACTATACATAGTATATTTTACAGAACTCTTTCAATTTTTGACGCCAACGAACCGTCTAGATTTAAATGATTCTACGTGTACGTGTTTTTTGGTAGCTTGCAGCCAACTGAGCAATCTAATTCATAAACCATGTTTACACCCCGGGAGGCCTACTTCCGTTAATAAATCATAAATGTCGGAAGTCCGAGCCCTTCAAAGTAGACTGCCACTAGCAAGATTATTCACAGTATGATCTTTGAGTCGTAATGTCTACCATCAACCAGGAATTTTTCAGTGAGTATAACTATGAATAATTTCAAGATTTTCAAGGATTAAAAAAAATTTAATCACTCTGATAATTTGCTAAACATATACATAAATCTATGAGAACTGTTTGTAATACGAATTTATTTTCTGTACACTTTTTAATTTCCATTCTTTAATATTCCATTACTAATTTATAAATATTTTATATTTTCTTTACATTTTAGGATATCTGATAGTATTGGCTATGTGCAGCATGGCCTTTGCTAATAATAACGGTAACGGGGTGGTCGTGACCGCTAGGTCTAGCGACGACTGCCAAGTAACGCCTGTCATCCATGTTCTACAATACCCAGGATGTGTACCGAAGCCAATACCATCGTTTGCATGTACAGGTCGCTGCAGCAGTTATTTACAAGTAAATAAATACATTTAAATATAAATAAAAAATAAAATAAATAAATAAATAAATACATTCATTTAAATATTCAATGGCGTTTTGTTTTTTTTTCAATAAGGTTTCTGGGTCTAAAATATGGCAAATGGAAAGGTCTTGCATGTGTTGTCAAGAGAGTGGTGAACGAGAAGCTTCGGTATCGCTGTTTTGTCCAAAAGCCAAACAAGGCGAGAAAAAATTTAGAAAGGTAGGTTCATATTTCATGATATACATTCTACACTTACCTGTATAAAATAAAAATATTTAGTAGCAGGCGGGGGTTTTAAGTTCTGGATTATATATTTATCTGGAACTTGATGGTAAGAAAAATGAAAACAATTTAAATAAGGGACGAATGGTTGCCCAGTTCTATACCATTTTAATTTGATACTGCCTTTGACTGTACAGGGTTCATTATTCTTAGCCTGCAATATGTACGATATATATAGGCCAAATAAATCTTTTATGTTATACCGGGAATTAAATTTTGATAGGTATACCTATGTAAAGAATGACTAGATGTTGCCACACGAAACTTAAAAATCACTCATGCGCCCTACACGAATAAAAGTAAAAACTTATACACAACCGTTTAACTTTTATGTTTAGTGTGGAAACTTACCAAACCCCAATTAAAAAGGTATAGGGGTCATCACAGACCACGCAGAATGATATGTGGACATGTGGTAGTTATTTACTTTTGATATTGATAAATATTATTCCGTTATTCCTATGATCATAATATCTATAATAATAATACAATAATGAGTAATGTCGGCCAATTAAGAAGTGGATGATTCTAATGTAGGTAAAATGAAGAAATATTTGAGAGGGGTATGCCGTGTGCGTATATTAAATAACTGTGCTTAATATGATAGGTACCATTCTATTTTCAATTTTGTCATGCTATTTAAAATATAATATAAGTAGATGATTATAGTGACGGTGACATTTTTGTTCAAAAACTTATTTTGAGGAAATCAATTTTAAAATCAAAAATTTATTCAGTATTTTGTTACCATTAATTTAAACCACATTTAAAATTGGAGTTCGATCTAACTATTGTTGAATACATCGTTTTATATTTATATTTTTTTTAAATAACATAGCATAATAACCATATACAATATATTATACTATAGGTATTTAGTGTTGTAATGGTGTATTTACCATATAAACTACTTACCTACCTTATACATATTATTTCTACATAATAATAATAAATAGCACAGCACCGGACTTCTTAAAATAAAATAACGATGTTGGTGTATTTATTCATGAGATCAATACAATAAAAAATTTAAGTTATTTTGAGGATTTCATACTATTTCAACAAAAACTACTATTTTGAGAAACAGACCACTCTACCAAAAGATAATTAATAAATTACCTACATATTTTGTATTTTAGAAATTAATGAGCATAATATATTATACCAAGTATAATTATATTATATATAAATATTATATCTATAATTTCATTATATTATTTTCCATAAAAGGTAACTACAAAAGCTCCACTGGAATGCATGTGCCGCCCTTGTACGGGTATTGAAGAAAGTGCGGTGATTCCTCAAGAAATGTCCAATTATGCCGCCGATGAGCCACCAATCAACGGACATTTTTCTAAATCTATTTAAATTATTAATCAATAAATAAAGAAAGTGTTTATATTACTTTCATTTTTATACAGTTTCCAAATTCTTTACCTATACCACCCTCTTCGTATCTATAATTATTTATGTAATATTTTCTATATAGTCGTATAATAATATATATTATAAAATCGTACTATTATTGTAGTTATTTAAACAGTAATCTCTTATACAGTTATACTATAAATTATAATATACAGTTCTATACATATACACGTATGTCAGTTGCACTTAAATTATAAATACATTTATTGTTTATTTCAAACGCATACCTATATTGTTATTTGTTTGTAAAAATTTAGTAAAATCATAAGAGAAATATTTATTGAGAGTTTCATGAAAAAATATTACTCATCGTGCCTGATAAACTGTATAGATATCTAAAATAGATCAATAGTATAATACAAGTATTGTAACATTTAACACAATCTAACATAAGTATCGTATAAAGATATAGTAATTCTGTTTTTCAGTTTAGGAACCTACGTTACGTCGTTATGATACGCTTATGTTTGTACGTTATTTCTGATATTTATTTTTACACCATTTTTTTTTTAATTGAACATTTCTTTTTATTATAATAATAAACAGTCTCTGCTCTCCTTCATTCTAATATTTTAAATTATAAAAAAAATACACGAAGTATAGGTGCACGGTGTACCTAAGCTTGAGTTTAGGTAATAATGCCCATTTATATCGAAATGTCCAGAAGAAAATATGGCCAAATAAAAAATGGATAGGATAAGAATTCAGTGAACAACAATTTAGTATTAATAATGGTATTGTTTTGGATCAACTTTAAATAAGAATATTATGAATTTTGTAAGTGGAATGTACCTATAATTTATTCGATTTCAAAAGCCATGGAATTGCTTGCTGTGCGCAGAACAATATTTGATACTCGACTAACTCGATATTGCCAGGGATAACAATATGCTCGGTATAACATGGTCAATCTAAATAATTATACAAATAGATGGGTAAGATTTAGCAAGAACGCCAAGAACTAAGAAATATCAAATAAACTTAAATCAAATATTATGCGTAATAATAATATTAAACTATTTTATAAGCAAACATTACTTTTTGACCCAGTGCATCAGATGCGTTCAAATTAGAAAATATGGTATCCGTACAGGCATGTATACACTATTACAGGGGAGTTA